GTATACACAAATATGTAGAACAAGTCTTATACTAATTGTAGTACAGACGAATAACATGTAAAATAATGGAGAACTGTATCAAACAATGAATACTGTGAAGGAATACTTGTATACATCGTTAGCATGTCGAGGGATTTGCGCGAATTTAGGAAGGGTGGATTTACAATTTGTAGTACCAATTAAGAACATAAAAGAGCGCAATTTTATATTAAAAGTGAAAATTAAAATACAGAAAAGATGAAAAAAAAAACCATCGTTCAGATATAGCAGAGCGTGGTTTCGATCCACGGACCTCTGGGTTATGGGCCCAGCACGCTTCCACTGCGCCACTCTGCTCTCCGAACACCACCAACCTTAATTTCAGAATTTCCACTGCGAGGTAGATTACTTCTTGTGAGACGAGAGAGCCAAAGATGAAAAAGTCCAGCCAAAGATCGATCGACGACGACTCGACGCGTAACTGAGAAATTTTAGGAGCTCCCGGCGTCTTAAAGCGTTTCGTTGAGCGAGTTATCTCGGCGGAGACATCAGGGAGGGACGGGAGATATCAGGGAGTGATCGTAAAGTACAGTATAGATCGCATAAATAGATAAGATATAACAATAGGTAAGGTGATTAAAATGGAATTCGCGGACTGACACGAGCTAAATTGAAAGTATGTTTGCGCGAACGCAGCAAGTATCGATCTTGCAATTCGCTGCAACGTGTAGTTTTGCAGATTTTTCGGTAGGCAATACCTCGTTTCGCAAGCGAATAAACACACTTAAACATGGTCACACAGTTATCGAGAAAGACATTACTTATTTCATCGTTATCTTCGATCGCAATTATAAATCTAACGCGTACACTACTACGTACAATCAGTTCGATGCAGCATGCCTACGATTTATCTCATCGTCTATCGACCAGAGTAGTATATGTAATGATTCGCGGTAATTGAGATTCAATAAAATCGTACACTCGAATTCGAACGAATTTTAATGAAACGCGAACCAATCAAGAAATTCTTAGTCAGCATCGACGGCCGTGCCGCGTTGCGTGGATCTCGTAATTGCAAAACGGTGTCCTCAAAACGAAATGCAGGCAGCGGAAAATCCGTATATAAAAGGAAAATCGGTTCGGTGGATCGTCAATCGAAGTTTCGAAGCGGTCGAAACGATGAAGTCGTACGCGTGTTTTCTGTACTTGTCTCTGGTGGTCGCCACCGTGATCGAAGCCGGTCCTACGCCCAGGGCAATCGAGTCCCTGGACAAGAGCGAAGTGGACACCGCGAAGGAGAACCTGCAAATAGAGGAGATCGGTGAGGAGAAGGACAGGTCAAAAAAAGCGGTGGTTTGTTATCAGCTGGAGCCGCAAGAGAATCATCTGGCCCCGCTGACGATTCCTCAGCAAGTGCCGTTTAACGTGATTCAACCTCAGACGAGTTTCGTCGTGCCCCAACAAACGGGGCAACAGATGGTGGTTCCTCAGTCGTTTCCTTTTCAACCGATTCACACCTTGCAAGTCGTCCAGCCTGTTCCCGTCCAGCCGTGCACCTCGTCCATAAACGTGATCCAAACCCTTCCCGAGGGAAACGCCGCCGCTCAAAAGGTCGAGACGCCGAGACCGACGCCGAGCCCCGAGATAGAGACGATCACCGAGAGACCGGTTCCGATGAGAATCGAAAGGCCCCTGCCACCGCCTCGTGAATCTTACGCGGTACTACCGATGATGTCGTATCAATATTCGGAACCGGTGTCGACGATGTCCGACGCGTGCACCGATCCCCTTCACGGGCTTCAATGCACCTGTAGACAGGTCCAGCCAATGTCCATGATGTCGGTGATGCCGTATTCCTCGGCCTACGCCAGATCCTCGATGCCGATGCCGATGCTCCCGAGCGTAAGCACAAAACGCGTGACGATCGTTGTCCGATCGATCTGATCACGTCTCGCGCAAATTAATCGTTCTGTGTCGATCGTTTTCAGAGAGCGAGAGCCCAGGGACCGCAGCCCAGAAAGAAGACCTACATCAACATAAACCTCCCGCAGGGTTACAGCTACTACCAACAACCGCAAAATATGCAACAACCGCAACACGTGCATCAGACGGTGAACCAAGAGATGTACGTGAACGGAGCCGACCTGAGTGCGTACAGTACCGGGGGAATCTCTATGAGCGCCCAACCGCGCTCTTACAGGAGCAGCGACCAGTCCGCTGATCGAGTTCCGATGAATTCTCTGAGTACACAGGACGACCTGGCCGGCGAGAACCTTGTCGGAGCGGACGAACTCGTCCCGAGGAACAAATCGCCCCGCGAGATCGATTCCAGCCAACTGTCACCGGAGCGGATCGAACGGGAGGAGGGTCAAGTTGCCACGATCGATGGTAAACGCGATACGAGAAGCGACGGACGGGAAGCGACGCTGAGGAAGAAACAGTGATGAGAAAGTAAATGGCGAGGAGGAACGATAGTTTTAGAGTATATAAGACGAGCATTTTATTTTTTTATACACCGTATTTTTGTACAGACGACGGTAAATAAAGTAAAGTTGATCGTACGAAAAACAGAGTAAAATTTATTTCTTACCTCCGACTCCGATCAAGCGTGCGAACAGTCGCAGCTGTCCAACGAGAGTGTCGCTTCGTCGGAAACTGATCGTTCCAAAAGGGCTGCACCGTTGCTGGGTACGATCAGAACGTCCTTCGACGAACATACTTGTAGATACTTCTGGAGCGAAGACATGCTCAACTGCACCCACGAACATTCGCACGAAACCGTGGTTCCTGAACTGTCCTTGGCCGCGGTCGGATCTTCGTCGTCATAGAAATGTTAATACGGCTTTACAATACGGAACTCCGACGAAGCGTGTATTAAAAATTATACGGGTGTAACGCCAATTCGTACCGCCGATGGTTCTTAAATCTTGTTCGAGAACGTGCTCGTCGATGGCGATCCATTTTAAGATGTTTTCCGCGGTGGTAGTGCTGACGCGTTTTATGATGTGCTCTATGTTCTTCTTAACGTCGGGGGGAGACACGATCCTCCTTAGAACCGATTTGTCTATAGACCAATCGCTGCTCTCGTCTCCTCTGCAATCGCAACAGGTGCAGGTGTCCGGATGTTCGACGTCTCTGCACTCTTCGTCGTAGAGAGGCCCTGCAGAGTTCTGCGATTAAACTCGTTTCATAATTGAAAGTAACGAGATCGAGAGGGAGGAAGAACATTACCATTGCACTTGAGACAATAGCAGCATCTGCACCCTTTCCTGTGGAGTCTGCTCACCGACTGCGAGACCAGCGTCACAGTCGACTGGACGCAAATCGACGATTAATCGTTACTCGATAGACGATTCGGCGATAAACACGATCGACGTACATGTTCTACTTTAATTTCCTTCATCGTGTCGTACGTGTACTTGCTATACTTTCTAACGGATCGAACCGACGGCGGAGGAGCTTCCGGTGGTTTCAAGTGGAGCCCGTAGGAAACGTCTTCGAACTTCTTCCTGCAACGATCTCCCTCGTACCTCGCGAAATGCCATACGTGATCTACTCTGTACGGTCTGACGTCGATGTTCTCTTGAGTCAAAACTTGCGACATCAACATTCGTTTGATTATCTGGGAACGGGATACGCACAGCTTCTGAGGGAGACGGCCGAGGAAGCCGAGGAAGCGATCGAAGGGAAAAACACGATTGATACTTTGGCAGAAGGATGGCCGATACAGTTGCCGAATATCGAGAGCTGCCTCAGCAGCGGGCTCTTCTTCAGAGTGTATAACACGGCCGTCATGCCGTCGTCGTTGATTTTGTTGTACGAGACGTCGAGGGACAAGAGTCTTGAATATGGAATGGCACGGCTCAGACTCCTGACGAATAGTCGCGATTATTATTAAGAATTCATTCTTGCATCGACACGAATCGAGTGTACCGTGCACCGTGACTCGTCACGATGTTCCTCTGTAAAATGAGAATCCTCAAGGCCGGCCTTTGTCTCAACCACGTGGAAACGTGCTCGACGCCGTGATCTCCGATGTTGTTGCACCCCAAGTCCAACAGGTGCAACGCGACGTTGAACTTGGCGTTCGACATCATACTTTCGACGTCGTGACAGTCGAAGCCGTACTTTTGCAGATGCAACGCGGCGAGAGTCGCGTTGTGCTGCGGGAGACGGAGTTTGAACGAGATGGCTAGGAACGGGAAGATATTTCGCGTCTTACTCGCAGCATGTGACCGATCACGTCGGCGAAATGAGCGGAATCGAAGAAGTACATGCATCCCGGATTCGGGCGACTGATGTCCAGACGCTTGAGAGTCTTGTTCGAGACCTCTTGGTCACCGCTCAAGATCATCGCGTAGTATATCAAACCGGATGCCGTTTGGTTGACGTCGGCGACGTTCATACCGAGCATGTGTTCGTTCTCCGATAAAAATAGCGCGACGTTCTTCGACGCTTCGTCCCCGAATTTGTTGGCCCTCAGATTGAGATACTTCAACTCTACCTTCTTCCTTACTTCCCACATGTGCCTCACTCCGAGATCACCGATATCGTTGTTCTGTACGTCCAGCTCCTCGATATTTTTGTACAGCTAAAGATAAATATTGCACGATTGCACGATGATACGATGTTATCGGAACTTCTGTTTACTTACGATGCAGTGATCGATCAGATTGATAAAGCCGCAATCACCGATATCGTTGCCGGCCACGCAAACATTGATGATCTCTGGATGTTTCTTCAGAAAGATCGACAAAGCCGGTACGTCTATATCTTTGAGATACCGCCTGTAATTACGTACGTTGAGTAGCTACTGACCCGACGATAAGAAGAAAATAAAACCGTTGGAACAGTGCTTTTCCTGACCCAAGTTTCTCGTATACCACTTTTCCGCGCATGTCGAGCCTCTTCTCCGTGCCACAAATCGTCCGACAGAAACATTTAAAGAAACAGTGACTCAGGATCTCATTGAAGAAAGGTTGCTTCACGTTCTTCAGCACCTCGGTCAAATTCGCCTTCTCGCAATCGGCGCACGAGGAAGGGCACTGGTATTTGTTGAATTTCATGACTCGCTTTTCAATTTCCCGATGAAAAGTCATTGAAAATTTTAAACGGATCTGTCCGATGAAACATGGCACTCGAAATGTTCGCACACTTCAAACCGGACCGTTCGATTATCGACTGGCTGTTTCGCATGCGAGGAATGGAAGAGGATTTTTTTCTCAAAAAGAAATCTGGGCCCGAGGCCGTTCCGCTGGAAGAGATGTTCCAGGGTAATTGTGGAAAAGACGTATAACAAGTATCGATAAATAAATTACCAATGGCGATGACGCGTGTAAAAGACGTTTCCCGTACATCAGCGTACTGCGAAATGGACCCGATCTCCTTCGAGCAAAACGTCCACCTGTTACCACTGTCACAAAGCGACAAGTGGTTGATCTCCGCTCGCATACTCGACATGGTCACGTTGACCACCACGGACACGGGTCTTGCGTTTTTCAAATTTCGTAAGAGAGCTCTTTCCTTCGACGAATACATGGCATACTTAAAGGAGTTGGCGGAATCGAAGAGCTTGGACTTGGAGGAGATGCAGTTCAAGATGCAGATATGCGGGAAGCCGAAAAAAGCTACTTAACCGTAAACGCTATGTAAAACTTTTATTTTTAATATTATTACGTTCGTTTACGGTTTGCAGTTAACATTTGCGATATCGAAGCCTGATGTAATTTGTTGCACGACGATTAAGGAAAAATTTAAATAAACATCGCCTCTCGCTGCTTCATTTTGAAGTTGTTAAACTCGACTAATTTTTAACGTTCGCATGCAACGCTACTCGAGAAGCGTCGATGCGACTTCTCAGTATCGATTCCTCTTACTTTACAGAGTAAGCGATCTTTGCCCAGACACGAAAGATCGCTCTCTGTGCACGATTTGTTTCGTCGACAAAATTAACCGTGTAGAATAATAAGACAGCCGATAATAATATAAATACGTTTTGCAATACTTTCTAGCATCGTTCGATCGCGAGAGATGCGAATCACAAAACAATCACAGCGATTTTCCACGTTCTATAACGATTGAGGTAACTCTTTTACTCTCCTCGGAGTATCAAAAATAAATTAATGCCAGGAGAAAACAACGCGTGGAACGTTCAACGATCATACACCGATAGAGATACAGTTGGTTATAGAAAAATATTTCAACGATTTCCGTCGACGGGGGACGAGACTCCATTCTTCGATATGCGGGAGAATGAATACTTTCTTCGCGACGTTACCTCTCACCTCTCTAAGAAAATATATTATACGTTCTGCTGGATCCACTTTAACGCGGTCCTAACGTTACCGAGTGTGACTCTACCGAGGAAACTCGCGATCAATTGGTACTCGGGCATGGTACGCCTGCCGCAGGACCTCGTCGACAGAGATCTGTTGTAAATGTTGTTTCTCCCGTCATGTTCCTCTTCTTCCTCCGCGCGAAGTGCTTCTGGTAATTTCAGCATCGAGTTGCGCCCCTCGCACAGCACTTTCGTAGTCAAGCACAGAAGCCACTGTAAAATCTAAACACGAAAGACTTGCGTGTACACCGCGTGTGTAATGACGGATTTTAAAAAGTATAAGAGACGAGAGATACCTCGTTGCTCGAGGGCAACTTGCCGTCGGTCCTGAGCCAAACGCTCGGCGCCCACAGGTGCAACTGAGCTACGGTCGCTGCCGTTTCGGTGTCGAGTCTCTGAAACCGCAATCATACCGTGAGCTAGAAGATTCGTACCCGCGGAAAGCGAGATCGGACGGCTCGAAGTACCTTATACAAACTCCTTGACAACAGATTTTTAATTAGCGCCGAGATGATCGGTGCTACGTGACTCGGCAGAGGGGGTATGTCCGCTTCCTTGTAATCGTGATTCTTCAGAGAAGCGCCGCTCTTTTCGCCGTGGAAAGGATTCTTCGCACCGAATAATTCGTACGCTATGGTGCCAACGGTCCAGAGATCGGCCTTCGTATAATTGATGCTGGTAAAAGGACCGGGATCCGCTGTTATCACCTCCGGTGCCATCAGAGCCACGTTTCCACCTTTGTCGATGTCGTGGGTGTTATACGGCATGTACAATCCGTGACGTTTGTCCGCGAGGCAGCAACCGAAGTCCGTGATCACCAACGACGGGCAATTGTCCGTCTCCTCGGACAGATCCAATAGGATATTGTCGCTCTTCAGATCGCTGTGTGTTTTTGAACGGAATGACGAAACGTGATATGCCTGACGTAACGTCGCTCGAAGAAAGGAAAGGTGTTGACTTACCGGTGAGCAATACCGTACGCATTCAAATGAGTCACACCCTCGAGCAGCTGCGCCAAGAGTAGTATCGATTCCCTGGTGTTTAGACTGCGATTGTTCAAGTACTGTTTCAGCGTGACGTCGTACCTGCGAGGAAAACCGTTGTATTCCGAGTATTCGTACGGTATTCGACGGTCGCGAACGATCGATACCTTTTCATCAACAAGAACAGGCTCATGTTCCTTCCGGATCCGTGAGGATTGATGCGCGCGGGCAGAGCATCCGGATACATTCCCCAGGACCCGGGCAGGGCCGGTACCCTGTCGGCGAAAACATAATACATGGCCACGATGTTCGGGTGAGGCGGCAGCTTGGTCTTCCTCTCGGCCATTCTCAGCTCCCAGTCGGCCAATTCCTGGTTGTTCAGCTGTCTTCTCGCTGGAACAGTCTCTCTGTACATGGCTCTCAAGATGGACAATGCATTCGATTCGGCGTCGTAGTTGAACATCATTTTCAACGCCAATGGGAACGTGGTCACGTCCGTGGGTTCATCGTCTATGTTCACTCGGCTTTCGCTGTCGACGGAGTCGTTGAATTTTGCAGCATAGACGACGGCGGAACATCCTTTCGCTATCGCCGGACCGATCACCAAATCGTTTAAAGTAATAGCTCGCTCTTCGTCTTTGATCGCCTCGTAGTTCTTATCGTTTTGTGGTGCGTTCCATTGTAACTTTGATATTGCTTCCTGCGAACACAGTATTCTCAGTTAATATCCATACCCTGACTCGCGACGTCTCGCGAAGGCGTGAGCACGTACTCGAATTTCCCAGCAAACACCCTCCAGTTCGTCATCCTTTGTCAGTATCCCCGTGCCAGATGCCAATGACACTCCGACCAAAGCGAAAAAAGGAGCAGAATCTCCACCGAAGACCAATCTGCTCGCAGCTCGTCTACGTAAATCGGCAGCCAAGCTGTTGGTGACTCTCTTCAAGATGTTGTCGACGAAGATTCTACGAGCGTGAGCCCCCAAGTAACCGAGCTGTCTTCCCGCGTTGGACACATAGCTGTTACCCTGGGGCAGGTAGCCCTGGGACTTGCCTATTTTCAAATCAAAACGTTTCGACACTTGTTTCGATTCAGACCGAGAGACGCAGATTTAAAAATCGGAGAGGCGGGATCCAATTAACGGGGATATTCGAAATGCGTATTGTATAAGCGTAAGGACAGAGAGTCGTCTGACAGGAAGAGTAAATCGTTTCAACGAACGGGACAGTGGAAGAACCGAAGTAGAATTCGTGTCGGGCTACTCACCTACTTGCACAACGTGTATCTTGTCGTGGTATTTCCTTGGGTGGAAGTTAGAGTTGAAACGCTCGGTATTTCTGACGGAGTGCAGCAGAGCCCGACCATTTTGCACGAGACGGTAGGCTACCGTTCGAATCGACATTTCTCCGCGATTCCGGGCTGAGACAGCCCAACGGGCGAACCCGAGAGTGAGACAAGCCTTCGCTGCCGAAGGCAGGTTTGTCGTTAATATCCCGATCGTTTCTTCAAGGTTCCGAGACTAACTGCGCAGAGACGAGTTCAAAATTCTACTCCACTACCGCACTCGATCCTTCTCTTGTCGCAGCCCTCTTCGTACTGTGCCGATTCGACTCAGTTTTCAGTTTTCTCTTCGTCGTGTCACGTTGGTCGACTCGAAGCGTCATCTGTTCTGTATCAGCGTAACGTATTGCCGACATTAAGGATGTATTGACTATACAGTCATTTCCAAACGTTTATGCACTTTAGAAACGCATTTTTAAAAAAGAAACAGACATCGGAAGAACATTGCTAATAATAAACAACAAAAAAAAATTTTCGATTTTTCCGAGATTTTTCCAAGGGGTACCCCTTCAGATTTTGCGAAATTTTCGTTTTTTGCCAATAACTCCTAAACTGCTGGACTTACGGGAAAATTGCATAGGACCTTTCTTGTAGAGGACGACGAGATCTACAATTTCCGTATAACAGTTCTTCGCTAGCATTAATAGTTAACGAGTAATTTGCGAAAAACTGTTTTTTCGTTTTTCGTCAATAACTCGTAAAGTATTGACGCTAGCGAAAAGTTTTTATATAGAAATTGTAGATCTCGTCATCCTCTACAAGAAAGGTTCTATACAATTTTCCCGTAGATTCAACAGTTTAGGAGTTATTAAGGAAAAACGAAATTTTTTGCGAAAAGTTCGCTGATTCGAGGCTGGGATGGTCGGATTTTGTCAACATCAATAAAATGCCAAATAATCATATGTAACTTGTTAAATACTCGAATTAGAAGAAAAATACATAAAATCTTTCTTGTAGAGGACGTCAGTACCTTTTTCTAAGGTACATAAACTTTTGGGATTGACTGTATAGCCAATACAAACTTAAACTTAATTACCAATTGTTTTTATACACGTATACGTCATAAGTATAATCCGATACAAATAATCGCGTAATAATAGAGGTATCTGTCTATGGGAAATGGAGCCAGAGGATCGCATATATATTACATTTTGTTATGTACACAATTAACGCTGTTAATAAAATTAATATGGTCACGATATAAAAGCGCGTACTACATTGTCCCCAACGGCTCTTAATCAATAGTAGCGATACCGATAAGCCCGGCCATAATTGTACACCGATCTGCTGTCGATCGGATTGCAAGTGTAAAGAGCATCTCCCCGGGTTCCGTCGGGACACGTGCACACCGCGATGTGCCTCCTGGGCGTGCACTCGGCGGTCGGTCCGCACTCCTTCCCGGTGCAAGGATTCTGGCAATTGAAGTCGATGCACGCCTTGTTGTCCGGACACTCGCTGTCGGTGAAACACTCGCCTCGTTGACAACTGGTCAACGCGTTGCCTCTGTAACCAGTGGGACAGGTGCACACCGGCCTCTCCTTTCCGGTGTTGTCGTGACCCGGAGTGCAGATCGCGTTCGCGCCGCAGGGATTCGGCTCGCACAGATCACCTAAGGACATTGATAAATCTCCCTTAGCCAAGGATCGACGGGTCTGCTCTCGACGTCGGTTACGTACGCGCTTCGAACAGTCTACAGCTGACGAAGGGATTGCCAGTCATATGCCTCGGGCAGCTGCAGACCGGAGTAATGCCACGCAGATTGCAGTCCGAGTTCACGCCGCACACTCCGTCGCAGGGATTCACGCACTTCTGGTAGAGACAGGCCGGTTTGTTGCCTGGACATTCCGAATGCGTGGTGCACTCCGGACGGCAAGAGACGAAAGGATTTCCCAACCAATTCTGCAAAGTGCAATCGCATATACGCGTTTCTATCTAGAACCAATTGTCTGACGATCGATAAACGCGGAACTCACGTTCGGGCAAGTGCATTTCGCCAGATGATTGACGACTTGACATTCGGCGTTCGCGCCGCATTTGCACGGACTTTCGCATTTGAAATTCGTCGAGCAGGCAAGATGATTAGGGCATTCGTCGTCACTTTCGCATTCGTGGCGGCAGCCGGTCAAGGGAGATCCTCGGAAACCCGGAAGGCAACTGCAGACCGGGATCTCGTTGACGACCTCGCATTTTGTGTTGACTCCGCACGGACTCGGCTTACAGGCGGCCTCTGAAGGTTTGCGCATTAATATTTCAGTCTTTCGTATCCTCGAGGACGTTTCGATTTACGTACGCGAGGTACAGACGAGCCAAAAGCAATGTAGAAAATAAAATACATCTTCGGACGAGTACCACGGCTCGCTCACGTTACTTTTGGCTCGTTCTGTAACAGCGCGACGTTGTAACGTTGTACGAGAATATTATTTACGAGGGTCAGCGATGCGGCAAGAGGTGAAAGGATCGCCGGTGTGACCAGATGGACAATAACACGTTGGAATATGATTTTTGGTCTCACATAACGCGTTCACGCCACACAATCCGTCGCACGGATTTATGCACCTGTTGTTCGTGCACACTCTGCTCCCGATGCAATCTTCGTTGACTGGAAATTAGATCAGTTCACGATTGAAGACGATCTCTGAATCGATCAGGATTTTCTATTTTAGGCGCGTGGATACTGACTCAAGCATTCTACTCTAACGCAACGCGAAAGAGGGTCTCCCATGTGCAAATTCATGCAGGAACACACTGGTCGGCCTTCGCTTATTGTACATCTCGCGTTAACTCCGCAAGTGTATGACTCACAACCTGAAAAAGGAATATAATTTGAACAGTTTTATTAACGAAGGATCAAACAAAAGAACTTACATGGATCGTTACCTATGTTAGCCGGCGACAATATCCTTGATTGATAGTATCCACCGTTCACGACCGCGATCAGTGAAACAAGCAGAACTGCGGTCTGCGACTTGTCCATATCCTTTGATGATTTACAGCGAAGCTTTTTCCTACCGATAAGCTGTTTCTCGAACGAAACGGATGACGGAGTATCGACCAAACCTATTGACCGGCTGCCAGCGTATGATGAGACGAACGCGGCACTGGATACAAGGAAAGTCCCTTCTCCCACGATCCGTGATCCCACTTCGAAATGTGCCTACGCGTGCCCCTGACGGTCCTTCGATGGGGCCTCGCCCACGCTGCCCAACCGTACTAGACCCGATGCTACGTAACAGTGCCAGAAAATAGTTTGTCCTCGCAGGAAAAAAGAAATATAAGTACCGCCAAGTTCATCCGACGTGAACCGGAACCATTTGCCTTGTTAATATTTATGCGCGTAGATCGTAAAACGAAACTGCATAAAAACTAGTCGGCAATTATTTAAATTCGTCCCAATAAAAATGACATTCAGTTTTATTTTTATTGGTACATAATCGTGTGTCTCGTTACAAAAATTCCTTCTAATCAAATATAAGTATATCGATCGTATAAATTAACGGAGTATACTCTAATAAATTGTGACCGCGTGATCTAATCGAGACGTGAATCATCATTTTCTTTAGGGATCGACTTTCACTCGTCGGAATGTATATCCGATCACGGGATAAACATAAGCGGAAAAGGACCGTCGTATACTACGGATAAAATTCATGAAATACAGAGCGTGAGTAATCGTATTGCAACTCCGTTCGGTACGATGAACAATCGTCTCTCCGGGCCAAAAATGGCATGCCGATGCGGCGACACCGCATATACATCGTTACCACCGACGTCGACCGGTCACCGTGTGCGTAATAATTAAAAATCGAGCGGCCTTGATGGATTCGACATTCACTTCCATTATTATGCGTTAATTATTCGACTGATATCTGAAAAAAAAAAATGGTCTAAATATTACTCAGTAGATATTGCCTTGTTTCGTTTGCCAGGTTTATTACTATGATTTGAATGATCAATGACGAGACTTTCGCCTCTCTGCCCTAAGTCCACGTTTATATTTCAAGAACCATATGCGACAGTCTGATGCATGTGCAAATCAGAAAGGACCAACAAGATCCGTTGAAGTTGTAATTGAGTAAACTTGAATTCGTCTCGTGGAAATTTAAAACTTAGAATCCCGTAGATGTGTATATACGTACGTATGCATATCTGTGTGTGTGTGTGTGTGTGTGTGTATATATATATATAAT